GATCTACAACAAAGGCCACCATCCCTCACCCACCCACCACACCAGCCTCCACAACCACAACCTTCACAACCACAACCACCTGTCAGTGTCGAGTACCCACCAACAGACCGCACCTGGGATTGACGGGAAGATTTCAGTTTTGTTCCAAATCCCCACCAGTTTGATGAAAGCCAATGTGGAATGCGGCCATGTTATACACTGGGGAACAATGCCACTGAACTGGAATGTTTCGAGTTATTCTTTGACGAACCCCTGATGGAAATTATTGTCAGGGAAAGCAACAGATACTACGAGTAAACCATGGCAAACACCAAGCTCACGGCTACACAAATGGAAGGAGACAACTGTGGCTGAGATGTATCTTTTCTTTGCCACAATAATGCTTATGCCACATGTGTATAAGCACAGTGTGAAATCATACTGGTCAACGGACCGCCTGATTGCAACCCCAGGTTTCAGTGATATAAGGGAGTGAATCGATTTGTGCTTCTATTACGTATGCTTCACTTTTCAGACAAAACCAGGCCTGACAGAAACGACAGGTTATGTAAGATTAGGAATGTGTTTGTGTATCTGAAAGAGAAATGCAATATGCACTTTTATCACTTCAGGAAGCTTGTAATTGACGAATCTTTGATTCTGTTCAAAGAAAGATTCTCTTTCAAGCAGTACATACCAAGCAAGAGGAAACGCTTTGGTATAAAGTTGTTTGCGCTTTGTGATTGTTACAGTGGTCTGGTATTGGATATTATTGTGTACACTGGAAGTTATACATTGCAAAATACCATTGCATCTCGGGTGATGTGGTTAGAACAATGATAGAACCATACCTTGGTAAGGGGCATATATTATATACTGATAACTGGTACACAAACCCCTCACTCAGTGATTTTTTGCGAGTGAACATGACAGATGTGTGTGGCACAGGGCATGCAAATCGTAAACATATGCCCAAGTTTGACGCAGGCACTCGTAGAGGTGAAGTGCAGGCGTTTGCTGCCAATGACATCATGGCATTTCGGTGGCATGGCAAACGAGATGTCACACTGTTGTCATCAGTTCACCCTAACGAAATGACAAACACTGGCAGGCAGCATGAACCCATTCTAAAACCTGCATCTGTGACTGATTACACCCTCAATATGTGTTCAGTGGACAAATGTGACATGCAGATTGGGTTTGCTGATTGTGTTCGCAAGAGTTATAAGTGGTACATAAAACTCTTTTTCCATCTTCTGGACATTTCCATGCTCAATGTTTATAATATATATAAGATGAGTATGAGATACAAACCACCATATGGCGAATTCTGTTTGTCTGTCATCAGACAAATAGTATTCAAGTTCCAAGGAACAGCACCTACAATAGAAAACCACCCACTAAATTATCAACAACTACCTTCTCCTCTGAAGCATGGTGATCACTTCCTAGTAAAACTGCCTGCTACTGCTTTCAAGTAAAAGACTCAGAAGATGTGTTACATCTGTGCGCATACAAAAAAACGCCCACAACAACGCAGAGACACTCGTTTTATGTGTGAGGAGTGTAAAACACCACTGTGCATGACATCATGTTTCAAAGACTTCTACAGGCTGCAGAACTTCTAGAAACATTCCCTGTGACTGTATATGTGTATATAAAATGTAGAAAAATAGTAATAAACAACATTCTATATCGTTTGTGTGTGTAAACAACAATTATAAACAATATAAGGACAACAGTGTTTGTGCAGCTATTGTGTAGTAAATAAGGAGAAAAAAATTATAAAATAGTGCTCATATTGGTCTCACAGGCCATAAAAGTTACTTGAAAAAAAATTAAAAAATAATAGAAAATAGTACAGTGGTCCCTGTTTATCGTCCTTAATCCGTTCCTGGAAGTGGGACTATTATCGAAATAGACGATTTTCGAATAAATTTTCCCCATAAATAATGTAAATACAATTAATCCATTCCTGACACCCGGAAGTATTAAAAAAAAAAAATTTTACATGAAATGTAGATGTAGTACATACACAATACAATGGGACATGATGAATGAAACATTAACAGCATAACACTTCTTAGTGTATGGAAGACTGGAGGAGGAGAGAGATTGAATTACTGTTTGAAAAGGGAATCCCCTTCCATCAACACCTCAGGTACCAAGTGCTTTTCTGGGGTTACTTCTCTTCCGTTTCTTAATGCCACTAGGACCAGCTTGAGAGTCACTGGAGTCCTATCTCGCAAAAAAACTGTCCAGAGAGCTCTGTTTCTGGCATCTCTTTAAAACTTCCCTAAAATGGGCCAAGACTCTGTCACTGTACAAGTTGCCGATATGGCTTGCAACATCCTTCTCAGGGTGATGTTTCTCCATAAATCTTTCCATCCTACCCCACATTTCAAAAATCTCCTTAATTTCTGAAGAAGGCACCTTCTTCCATCTCTCTTCCTCCTCCTCTGCAGCAAGATTCTGAGCTGCGATCTGTTGCTCTTCCTGCTGAAGCTCTTGCAGCTCCTCAGTGGTTAGCTCTTCGTTGTGGTCCTCCACCAACTCTTCCACATCCTCCAAACTCACATCCAACCCCATGCAACTACCCAATGCCACAATAGAGTTCACAACTGACATAGGCTCATCAGGGGCCACCTCAAACCTTTCAAAATCACTCTTTTGGACACAATCTGGCCACAAGTTTCTCCAAGCAGAGTTCAAAGTCCTAGTAGTCACTCCCTCCCAAGCCTTACCTATAAGGCTTATGCAATGGAGAATTCTGAAGTGTTCTTTCCAAAAATCTCTTAGGGTCAAGTGAATGTCTGAGGTCACATCAAAGCACCTTTCAAACATTGCTTTGGTGTAGAGTTTTTTAAAATTTGAAATGACCTGCTGGTCCATGGGCTGGAGAAGAGGAGTGGTATTCGGGGGCAAGAACTTTATTGTGATGAACCCAAACTCCTTCAGAGTTAGGTCATCCAAGTTTAGAGGATGAGTAGGTGCATTGTCCATTACTAGGAGGCACTTGAGATCCAATTTCTTTTCCAGGAGGTAATTCTTCATACTAGAGCAAAACACTTCATTGAACCACTCAACGAAAATGTCCCTCGTGACCCATGCCTTATTATTAGATCTCCAAAACACACACAATTTACTCTTCATAACATTGTTTTTCTTGAACACACTGGGATTTTCAGAATGGTACACTAGTAATGGCTTCACTTTGAAATCCCCACTAGCATTAGCACAGAACTTGAGCGTCAGCCTGTCTTTCATAGGTTTGTGTCCTGGCAGTGCCTTTTCCTCCTGAGTAATGTAGGTCCTCTTTAGCATTTTCTTCCAAAAGAGGCCTGTTTTGTCACAATTGAACACTTGTTCAGGTTTCAGTCCTTCAGCCTCTATGTACTCCTCGAATTCATGCACATATTTTTCAGCCGCTTTTTGGTCTGAACTGGCAGCCTCACCATGCTTTATCACACTGTGTATGCCAGTACACTTCTTAAATCTCTCAAACCAGCCTTTGCTGGCTTTAAATTCACTCACATCACCACTAGTTGCAGGCAATTTCTTTACCAAATCGTCATGCAACTGCCTAGCCTTTTCACAAATAATCGACGTCATAAGACTCTCTCCTGCTAATTGTTTCTCGTTTATCCAAACCAATAATAACTTCTCAACGTCTTTGAGTACTGGTGATCTCATTTTTGTCAGCATATTTACCCCCTTTGCAACAACAGCTTCCTTGATTTCCTTTTTCTTGGCCACGGTGGAAGATATGGCTGTACAGGATTTGTTATTTGTAGATGAATGGTTCAGTGAACCGACATGTTGATAAATTAGACACATGTGCAACTCTTGGGTATCTTTATTGAGGAAACGTTTCGCCACACAGTGGCTTCATCAGTCCATACAAAGGAGAATCTTGAAGAACAGGAGGAGAATGAGGTAATCAGTCCCTCAACCTTGAGTCGATTGATGGACTGACCACATCGACTCAAGGTTGAGGGACCGATTACCTTATTCTCCTCCTGTTCTTCAAGATTCTCCTTTGTATGGACTGATGAAGCCACTGTGTGGCAAAACGTTTCCTCAATAAAGATACCCAAGAGTTGCACATGTGTCTAATTTATCATCAGGATTTGTTATACATCCTGGCCAGTTCGCCCACACGTACACCACTTTCATATTGTTCAATGATGTTTTTCTTAAATTCAATCGCATTTCTCACCTTCTTTACCAAAGGTGTGGCACTAGGAGCTTTTTTTGGAGCCATGGTAGCTTATTTAGCACTTGCAACCACTAAAATGAATGGAATATTATGAAATATTTCGTATGAACAAGTGAGGGGACCATCACTCACTGGTAAACAATGGCACACTGGCTGGGAAGGGAGGACGAGGCGGCTCAGAGCGTGAGTACTCGTCTAGGACGAAAGACGATTAGCGAGTCAACGGACCATTTGCGAGCCAGTGTTTGGACAAAATAACGCGACGATTTCCGAAAAGGACGACTATTGAGCCAGACGATTATTGAGGGACCACTGTACCTAAAAACCAAAATAAAGTAATACCGGATGACGGCAGTCGGTGATGTTACCATACATGGGGCTTTTTCTGTCAATTTCACGCTCCATATCTCGGTAAGTATTGATGGTAAAAAATTTTTGTTTAGCCTATAATGTTTAGAAAAAAAAAACTATCTTTTCATAAGATTTTTTTTTTTTTTTTTTTAAATTTTGGCAACCCTGAGAACAAGTCTCAGAGAGGGCCTGGGGACCCTGAAAGGGTTAATTTTGTGTACAATAAATTTACAGATAGTTAAATATTTGATGTTATAGTCAGGCTTATGTACAATGTGTACAAAAAGTCATTTTTCTGGAATGTCATCTGTTACATTCTTTGTATGAAGCACTGTACTCTGTGTGTACTCTATTATATTGTGAGAAATGTTAGAAAATGTACGCTTTTTTAGTTTTAAATTATTGGACTTAACTTCATGCTTAGTTCAGTAATGATAGTGTTATTTTTCAGCTGTTGATATGTGGTCTGTTGGGGTCATTTTGTTGTGCCTCTTAAGTGGACGTTATCCATTCTTCCGTGCAGCAGATGATCTGTCAACTTTGGCAGAGATTATAACCATACTGGGAACCAGCGCCGTGCGCAAAGCAGCGGCAAAACTTGGTGGGTGATATGTTTGTATATTTATTGTTATGGAGAGGTAAACCCATGTGAGTAGTGGAGAGTCACTCCTGTGTTCCTCTAGTGTCACACACGTTACCTAACTGTTCAACAATTATCACAGTTGTAGGTGACATATTACTAAACACATCATTCCTCTGAAGATAATATCTAACCCCTTAATTGTCAGTCAAATAACAGTGTCTGAGAGTTGTATATCTGGCACACAGGTGAGTATGGTTCATAACACCTCCAAATTTGCTGTATGTGTCAAGCTTGGAGGCCTAGATATGAGAGAATGTGTCTGCACACTGTATGTTTGCTGAATATAAAAAAAATCCTGCCCCACACAGAGCATTATGGACCTGCTACACCTCTCAACCATTGTTGTCCATGTCTTCTGCATGTCTCTCTCATTCCCACTATGACTAACCTAAATGCATTAACAGTGAGAAGTGTTTCTGAAATGGAATTTCACCAATTTGAGACAGATATGAGCCAAGGTGATACCAGGAATGCTCATAATACTGCTTCAAACCCAGTCAACTCACCGCTAACATCTGCACAAAAAATTCCATCTCGTCTGAAGCCTGGTAATCACAGTCACTACCTAGTGCTAATTGACTTACTGAAAAGAAGATGAAGGCTCAGAAGAAGTGTTATGCATGTGTGCTTATACCATAACATTACTTCCACATGTGTACTTATACTATGACAAGACCTCCACTTGTACAAGTGTAAGACATGTGCACTTGTTGAAAGATAAGAAATGTACATTTTACATTGATAAATGCACTTACATGAGGGTAAGGAAATGTACACTTGTACTAGGATATGAAATGTACGGTTGTACAAGGATAAATATTGCACATGGATCATAGTAAGAAATATGCAACTTGTACCAGAGTCATTATATACACTTGTACGTGCATGATCAGGATAAATATTGAACTGTTTTTAGACACCAATGGAGCCACAGTGATATAAACACACTGATATACAGAGTACAGTCTAGGTGGCCAGAAACTACAAACTTCACTCAAGGAAAAGGATCTTGGAGTGTGTATAATACCGATCACATCTCCTGATACGCACATCAACCAAATAACTGATGCAGCATATGGGCAACGAGCGAACCTGAGAATAGCATTCCAACATTTCAGTTAGGAGTCATTCCGGACCCTGTACACTGTGTACGTCAGGCCCATATTGGAGTATGCAACTCCAGTTTGAAACCCTTCACCTGACCAAGAACATCAGGAAACCATAAGGGACAGGGAGGGGGACATGATAATGACAAGGTGGACAGAGATAGGATGTTCCAAAGATGGGACACAGCAATAAGGGGTCACAATTGGAAGTTGAAGAGTCAGATGAATCACAAGGATGTTAGGCCGTATTTCTTCAACCATAGAATTATCAGGAAGTGGAATAGTCTGGAAAGTGAGGTAGTGGAGGCAGGTACCATACATAGCTTTAAGAAGTGGTATGATCAAGCTCATGGAGCAGGGAGAGAGTGGACCTAGTGGCAACCAGTGTAGAGGTGAGGCCAGGAGCTACAATTTGACCCCTGCAAACACAGTTAAGTGAGTACACTGATGTAGACCACACTGATGAATTTATAAAGCATGGTGCCTGACTCTTATTTAAATTGGAGAAAATGAATACATAAGTGTTGAGCTAGCAATTGTAGGCCTAGAAAGAGGGAAGGACATTAGGATAATTTTCCTTTAGAATAAAACATAGAAGAGTGTTAGAGAGTACAGTGGACCCTTGATTTTCATAATTAATCCATTCCAGAGAGTCTGCCGAAAACCAAAATTCACAAAAACTAAAACCATTTTCTCCATAGGAAATAATGTAAATCCAATTAATCCGTTCCAGACATCCAAAAGTATTAACAAAAAATTATTTTTTTAGAGATTAAATATAGATTTACATACAGAAAAGAATGACATATCAATATACTGTAAAGCACTAATTAACCCTTAAACGGTCCAAACGTATATATACGTTTTTTCAACATCTGAAAGTATGTAAAAAAATGTAGATCTTCTTTTTTGTTTTACATTTGAAAACATGTAAAAAAACTTTCATCTACTTTTTTTTTTTTTGTATTTGAAAATATGTAAAAAAAAGTAGATCTACTTTTGTAGCACAACGAATTTGAACATTGATCTGTTTGGACCGTTTAAGGGTTAAATGTATAAATGAACAGTTAACATCACACTTACCTTTATTGAAGACTCTTGTTGGTGTATGAAAGACAGGGAGGAGGGGATAGGGAGGCAGTTTCTTGTTAGGAGACAGGACAAAATGCTTGAATACGATGTTAATATCAACTCTACGGTTTATTTATCTATCACAGTTCATCTAATATGGCATAATAAACAATATTAATAAAATACAAACATGATATATGCTATAGAATGAATAAAATATGTCATTACTAATGTGAGGAATGGTGGTGGTGGTGGCAGTGTTGGGTTTATAAGGGCAACTGACGGCTTAAGCCATACATATAGTGGTGGTGGTGGTGGCGGCAGCAGCAGTGTTGTCAGTGGACTTATATATGTACCTCCAATAACATTGGAGGAATTAAGTTTTATGTCATCTTTTTTCTGTCACTTAATCGCTTAACTTATTTGCTACACTGTTAATGCTACACTTTATCACTGGCTGGTGCTATAGCCTTTATCGACTCCTGCTGCTTTAGTATCATACATATCGTAGAATCACTGAAGAAGGCACACACTCCCCTCTCTCTTCCACTGGAACATGTTCCATACGACTGCTGAAATCCAAGGGAAGTCACGAAAACTAAGGCTATATTTTGACGAAAAAAGTTGCCAATAACCAAAATTCATGAAAACTGAGACTCAAGAAAACCAAGGGTCCACTGTATCACCTCCCATCTAGGGAGGTGATACTCTCCTCTTACATCATTGTGAAAGGGAAAACTCTTAAATATTTTGGCGGGTAGAATTGTTTGTTTTCTTTGGCCATCACATGGAGCTACACTATTGATGCCAAGGTCCCCAATGCAGATCTACACTTAAATTCTAGAGGCTTCAAATTTGGGAAGAGAGGCCTGGTAAGCCTAAATATGAGAGAATGGGTCTACATGGTCAGTGTACACAATACAGTGGAACCTTAAATTTCGAACTTAATCCATTCCAGGAGCTAGTTCTAAAGTCGAAAATTTGAAAGGCGAAGTAATATTTCCCATAAGAAATAATGGAAATACAATTAATCTGTTCCAGAAACCAAAAAAATATTCACAAAAAAAATACATTTTATAGATAGTATTACATTATAGTTTTACATACACACAACAAATATAGTGTACAATTATTAATAAATTTAAATAAACATAAAATAACATTTTTACATACCTTTATTGAAGATTGGTGATGGCATCTGGAAGATAGGGAAGAGGAGAGAGGGAGTTGGGGTTAGTGTTTGGAAGGGGAATCCCCCTCCATAAGGACTTTAGGTATCAAAGCCCTGTCTGGGGTTACTTCCCTTCTCTGTCTTTTAATGCCACTAAGGCCAGCTTGAGAGTCACTGGACCCCTGTCTCACAAAATAACTGTCCACAGTCCTCTGTTTCTGGCAAGCCCAACAAGTCACACACCACTCTCGTACTTCTGTATTATTTCCTTCTTCACATCTTTGGTGTTTCTCACTTCCTTTACCACAGGGGTACCACTAGCAAGTTTCTTTGGGCCCATGGTAGTTTATTTCACAGTCCCACAAGCACTAATACAATGAATTAATCGTAAATTGTTTGAATGAGACTGCTGGTTAGTATTCACTCAAGCATCAACAAAGCCAGACTGGCTCACGGAGCCTGCGCAGGGACGCAGACAGAGCGGGTTGGCGGACAGGTCCTGTACCCAGCAGTTCGAAAGAGGGGGCGAGTTCGATAATAGGGAGAAAATTGGTTCGAAAAAGTGGTCGATTTTCGAAGAGTTCGATAAGCGATGCATTCGAAATTTGAGGTTCCACTGTATACACAAGATCCGGACCTCCACATTGTATTGTGGAAGTGCTATATTTAGTACACCTTGTTGACCATGCCAAGCAACACAAAGGCCTCACTCCCAGGCAAAATGGATGAGTTTTATTCTTCATTAACTGCTCCAACAATGATAATTATGGAACCAGTGATGAGCTTTTGGTTTTTAACATATAATGACCCATTACTAGACACTGTGAGGGCAAATTTTTAGGTCTTTACCTTGACTGCAACCTGAAATTTCATACCCACATGCAACACACAGCCAAGAAGGTCTTCAAAACAGTAGGCATCTTCTCCAAGATACGATACTGTGTACACCAAACGACACTACTTACACTATACCACTCTCAAATCTACCCTTACTCACCTATGGTATTTGTTCTTGGGGATCTGCCATGACCAATCACCTTTAACCATTAATGACCCAAAAAAAACTAACTGCTGTGCAGACTGTCACCCATTCCTCTGCCAGACAACACCCCCATTCTGCTCTTCAGGAGTTTAAACTTACTTAATATACAAAATAAGCATTCATATTTCTTTGCCTATTATAACAGCCTCTCCTCACTTAGCGATGTACTCGTTTACCAGTGATTCAGACTTTCGACAGACTGTCTGACCAGTATGCATACCTAAATAATGTATATTAGAGCTGATTTCCTCTATTCTTTTTATTACAATATACAGTACACTGCTGTATAAACATTTAAAAATATACTAAAAATGTGATAAATGGTGCAAAGGTGACATTAATCCTTTGAAGGTCCGTCCTGTAGTTGTATGGCTTTGAGGAGAGGGTCCAAGCTGTAGTTCTGCGCCACGAGTTCATCTCACTCAGATAAGCTGTGAGCGGTAAATTTGGTCCTAGATATGAGAGATTGGATTTATGTGGTAAGTGTGCACCACATAAAACAAATTCTGCAGCACACAGTGCGTAATGACAAAAAAAAAATTACAACTGTGTTTTTAGATTACAACAG